TTCCAAACAAGCGTGGTAAAATAGGTATAAAATATGAATAGAGTAAAATAAATACACAACATAGAAAATATTAGCAACATTATTTATAAAAAAAAAAATTTCAGTTAAATATTTATCAACACACTTTTAATATTCTATTTTCTACTTATTTTCAGTTTGGCTATCCATGAAAGCGTGTTTCATTAGTTTTTCAAACTACTATTTATTTTATACTTCTTTCTAGTTTGACAATCTATCTCGTTTTTTCAAACTATACTATCAATTTCCTACTTCTCTTTAGTTTGGCCTCGAGTTTGGCTACCTATGGAATTGTATTCCATCATAGTTTCACAAAATATTACGTATTGGATCCGCCATCTTGAATTTTCCAATTTTGAAGAAGAAAATCCATAATCCATATTGGATTCAATTTCCAAATTTTGATGGAAGAATCGTAATCTCCGACCCCAAAATCCCCCAGATATAAATTTTGAATGGAATCGGATCATAGTTACAAAACTCGTCCCCCATATTGAATCTGCCATCTTGGATTTACAAATGTTGATGTTAGTATCATTATCTTCGACTCCGAAAACCCCCAGACACCAATTTCGAATAGAATCTGATCCTAATTAATAAACTCGTCCGCTATATTGGATCCGCCGTTTTGAATTTTGAATTCCCTAATTCTAAGGAATCATAACCTCCGACCTCATATACCTCCAGTTACCAATTTTGATATAGTCTGACTATATAATTACGAAAGTCGTCCGCCACATTGGATCCGCCATCTTGAATTTGTGAATGTTGACGGAAGAATCGTAATCTCCGACCCCATAAACCCCCAGATACATATTTTGAATGGAATCTGATTATAATTAAAAAACTCATCCGCCATATTGGATCCGTCATCTTCAATTCACAAATTCTGACGAAAGAATCATAATCTCCGACCCCGAAAACCCACAGATGCCAATTTTGAATAGAATCGGACCATAGTTAAAAAACTCGTTCGCCATATTGGATCCGCCATTTTGAATTTCCTATTTTTGAAGAATAAATCATAATCTCCGACCCCGAGAATCCCCTGATACCAATTTTGAATAAAATCGGATTAAAAAACTCGTCAGTCATATTGGTTCCGCCATCTTGAATTTTCGATTTAAAAAATAGATTACGACTGATTCTAATACCTACCTAATACGCACCAAAATTTTTGTACGAATCGATCGAGCCGTTTCGGAGGAGTTTGACCACTAACACTGTGACTAGGAAGGAAGAATTTTATCTACTAGATAATCTGTTATCATTCATTATCAGTAGGTATTAAAATAAATAGGTCTATTAATATTTCTCAATGATATCTTTGATATCCCATGCAACGATATTCCTTTTAAAGATGTAATGTGGATATCTCCGTGAACGATATCTTATGGACATCCCTGAGGATCTAGTGAATGTCCTTCAGAAACATATTATGAATGTCCGTGAACAATATCTCTGAAGGATATCTCATGGATGAGCTTCTTCGAGTCGAAACATCCATTGGACGTCTATATAAATTATACATTGGATACAAAGTGCATGTTATTTATTTATATGGATATTCTAAATATCCAGGATGAAAATCCAATATGGATATCCATCTGATTGGCGTTTGTTGACTAGGAATCGTTCATTAATAAATAGAATTGAATAGTGGTAATCAACCATCAATTTCATGTATTTGTTGTGAAACTCGTTAATACAAAATCAACGAAAATAATTTTTTTTCTGTGACGGGAAAAAAGTTTGGAACTTCATTTCTGTTGACAGGTTATGAAATGTCACTTTTCATAAATTACTTTTTTCCCATGGCAACAGTGAGCACTTTTTTCCCGGATATATATCAAATATAGGTATATACACTGTTGATGGCTTTTGTTGTGTTATAGTTGAGCATAAAAATGTTACTGCACTGTTGTCCTGGTTATTATTCCTCATATCACTTATATTTACAATTATTGTACCTATAGTAAATAATGTTTTTCCGTCAGTTTGGAAACAATCTAATGTTCTCCCACTTCCCAAAATCCCCAATCCGAAGGATACAAAAGATTTGAGGCCCATCAGCATACTTTGCGCCATATCAAAAGGCTTTGAGAAAATTATAAACGAGCAACTCAGAAAGCACATCACTTTCCAATATTCTACCACAAAACCAATCGGGTTTTCGTCAAGGACACAGCTGTACGACTGTTCTGGTCAAAGTCACAGACGACATCTATCGCTCCATTGATGAAAATAAGTTATGTGTATTAGTGTTGCTTGATTACACGAAAGCTTTCGATAGGATCAACCACAGCATATTTTTAGCCATCGTTAATCTATGTGTTAGCTCTTCTTCACTACATAGGGATGTCACCAAATGTAATAAGTCTCACCAAAAGTTATTTATATGATAGGACCCAGGCAGTTCTCATCCCAAATCACGATATATCACAGTCACTTCGTGTTACTTCAGGAGTGCCACAAGGCTCCACTTTAGGACCCTTATTATTCACTATATATACCTCGCAGTTTCACAAATATCTTCAACATTCCAATTCCCACTTTTATGCCGACGATACCCAGTTATATTTGTCATTTGAAGAAAGTGATGTGCAAAATGCATGTCTGATACTGAACGATGATCTGCAAACATTATCAACTATGTCACATAAGTATTGCCTGAGTATTATTCCTTCACAATTGAAAGCTATGCAGTTTGGTAGGAAAATAACATGGAATAGGGTACATAATCAAATTGCACTTCAAATTGAGAACGTGGATTTGCCTCTCAGTGAATGCGAGAAGAATCTGACATGATATTCACCAGCCATGTTTCATCAGAAATAAAAAAAGCTTTCTGTAGTTTGAAACTCATTTATAGCCATAGACGAATGCTTACCAAACAATGTAAAATAAATCTTTGCGAATCGTTGGTATTTTCGAAACTCAATTATGGTGACTGTGTATATGGACCTGCCTTATTAAAATCTGACTGCCGGCGGATTCAGTTGATTCAGAACTCGTGCATCAGGCTAACTTGTGGGTTGAGAAAGGGTGAGCATATTTCACGAGCTTTTGCGGATGTTGGATGGTTAAGGATGGAGGAAAGAAGAATGATTCATTATTGCTTTTTTTTATCATAAGATAATAACTGCGCCAAAAAACCTCCTTATCTCTTCAATACACTAAGGTTTCGTTCGGATATGCATAGTATCAATATACGCAGGAAAGATGGTATATCTCTTCCCAAACATAAAACAACTGCTTTCAGAGCATATTTCTCCTTTCATGCCGCAAAATTATATAATTCAATTCCTGTTGATATGAAACATTTGTCTGTGAGCAATCTGAGAAAGAGAATGAAAGCAAAACTTTGGAGTGAGAATGTTATCTTTTGAATATTCAGAAGTTTATAGTCTATATCCATCATTTCATTTTTTTTGCCACACAAGATACAGTTATTGTTTTTTCTTTTCTTACTTTTTCTTTCTTTATTGGGTCTTTTGTCATGGAACATTTCCTTGGATGTCATTATGATTATTACTAGAACTTTATTTATTTTTTCATTTTATTATTTTTTTTTTGTTACTGAAGGTTGAGTGAAAGAGCACCGCTTCTTAACTTCACAGTTGTAGAAGTGCGAACTCTGCCTTTTGCATAGATAGGTTCACACAGACACATACATATATCATAAATATAGTTGTTATAATCATGTTCATATATTATTATTACGATTATTGGGATACAAACCAACTCATTATTCGTTTAGTTATATTTACCATGTGTACACCTATCTATCTGTTGCAATAAAATCATTTATTATTAAGAGAACAAACTCAAAGTCTCACTCCACTTACTTGGAGTGAGACTTTGAGTTTGTTTGTTCTCTTAATTATCTCATCACCTTCAATTTGAGCATGGACTACTAACAGAGATTCATTTATTATCATTATTATTATTAAAATAAGCCAAGAGCTAAACATCGTCTACAAGACGTTTTACCTTCCATTCGACTTCGCGGTTACGTAAATTACTAAACATGCAACCGCTAAATTTGCCATTTTTTCAAATAAAATCACAGAATTAGACTCACAGATATCTGATTACTTCAAAAAATGATGAAGATGCCTGCAAAAAGATGCCTGTAACGCAGGTATCTTCTTCTTCTTCTTCTTCTTCTTCTTCTTCTTCTTCTTCTTCTTCTTCTTCTTCTTCTTCTTCTTCTTCTTCTTCTTCTTCGTCTTCGAAGCACTGGTGGGCGCGGGTAAACCCCCTGCACCTGGGCCTCCTTATTCGGGCCCATTGTGCGCCCACATGTTACGACATTCAGCTGGGTATGCCGACTGCCTTGGAGAAGTTCAGCAGCTTCCTCAGCTGAATCTCTTTTACGTCCTCTGGCCTCAAAATTATGTTGCCAAGGACAGCCCTCCTCTGATGCGTCAGTGCTGAACACTCAGTGAGGACATGTGATGACGTTTCGTCATCTTCCAGGCACCATCTGCAAAGGGGGGTCATCCTTGATCCCAATAAGCTCTAGGTGCCTATTGAGGTGGTTGTGCCCCGTTAGGAGCCCCACTACCATTTTGAGGTTTCGCCTTTTTAGGAATAAAACCTCTTTTTCGAGCCTCTTCGAAGGTTCCTTTCGCGCAGGTATCATATGGGTAATATTATTATTATCATTACTATCAATCTATGTTTTGAAATATGTTATTTTTATGTTTAATTATCCATGAAACTAGGTTGTGAAATCTGTATGGATAATAATAATAAATGAATAAATTATGAATAGATGAATAATTATCTCTATATTGATTCGCCCTCTTTTCGGTCGAAGAAAAACATTGTGTATTATACACGGGAAAAATATTAGATTCTAGCCCACGTTTTTTTGTCTCCCGACGTGTAGCGGACAACCTCTGGAGCTAAAATCTACTACTTTTTTCCCTTGTATAGGTAATAGATAACTTTTTTAATTTTCATTTTATTTTCAGATGGGGAATATATTATTGTTCTCATGCCTCCTGATTCTTCAGTACATGGCGACAAGTCTAGGTGAGCCAACATTCTACCGCCAATATAGAATATTGACTGGATCGCCATTCTATTACTGCTGCGACTCCAATGACTATTACCCCCACAGATACACGCAAACGGCAACGTCGAATGATGACAATGTTTACATCACCGACAAATATGGAAGAACCACAATTCGATCTGGAGCTTCTTACAGAGGTTTACTTTCATGGAAACATCGCTAACTGCACCAATTGCATCGTGCACCTCTTTTTTACAAGGTTTCATTCCATTTCCATGAAGTGAAGTCACTGAATATGACTGACTATTCCACTCATCACATTATCTCACCAATCACAAGCCAGAGACAACGTGTGCTTATCGCGAAAACTAGGGTCCCTTGATGCAAACTGACGTATTTGTCATCTAACAGGGTACGGACAGATCATAGCTCCTTCCTCTTTCAATCATCTAGTGAATTTGGTTTCGTGTATTGGAATCCCTGGCATGACATCGCTATCAAGATCTTGAAACTGAAAAATATAACGAAAAATATTGTAAACAAATAGTATTTTGAACATATTATATAGGAAGAATCGCTGACGTTTCCTGCGTCTTGATTTTCATTAACATTGCCAGAATTTAGGTCATCTGCTTCGTCAACAGTTATGTTTTTGGAACATATTCACTCCCCGAATGTTGAAAGGGCTCACTTTCCCTTTCCGACGACATTACATTGTATTGCATGAAACAAATGTTCAAACTAATCACGCCACACACGATGGAAGACGCGGGAAGGCTTGCCGCTAATAACCTCTCTCCGACATCTCCCACTACACGCGTACATTTCGGTGCTAAAATCGGGTAACTCCTGGAGTTGCCCGACTCTAGCACCGTCATGGCTTACATTTCGGTGCTAAGATCGGGTAACTAGTCGACTCTCGTTCCTCAATGGCTCATCAGGTAAATCCATTCCGGTGTTAACTAAATAGGAAATTGTTGGATTCACTTGATTCTTGCACCAAAAGAATAAAGATGCGCAAGAAAAAAATCTATATGTAAAAAACAATAACCCAATTTCGGCATGAAATGGAGTTGCCCGGTTCTTGCATCGAGGTCTTCAATTATCAATTAGCTATAGTAGAAAGGTTGTTGGAATTGCTGACTGCTATGCAGCAGCAATCGTATGAAACTGTTGAAATCGTATGAATACGATTATCCAATGTCTTCACAACCAAAAAAGACTCCATCTTATACAATACAATACAATACAATACAATACAATGTTTGGTTATCAAAAGATTTTTAAAACAAAAACTATACAGGTCTCATGAAGGTGATTATGAAATAATCTAATGAAAGTGATTCACGACAACATTATATATACAATGAACTCAGATACATATGGAAATTCATTACACGATGTTACAGAAGTTTTTTTATATAAAAAATAATTAGCATACAACCGAGAGAAAAATTAAGATATGATATGATTTTTGGCGAAAAAAACAGTATACAATGATGAAGTTCTATAATGTTGTTTATATCGGCATTATAAGATGCCTGTATTGTTTTTCCACTGATGCTTATAGAATAGTTTTATAACTGAGAGAAAATAACTCAAATATAGAATTGTTTATACGACTCCAATACAACCATATCTCAGCGCCGATATTGGATCTTATATGAATGATTATGTAAATATAGTATAAAATATATACTTACAACATTATTGGGATGTTTATAAATGATTGTATAATATGTTGAATACAAGTGTTATTATACTTGTTATAGTAATAAACATTCGAGTTTTATAAAATCAAATTATTATATTTTACTAACTGAAGAACAAAACCTTCAATAGGCGTTAAATGATAATAGTTAGATATTTGTTTTACTAGGCAGAAAAGTACAAGATTTAATGCCGCGGTTGGCATTTCATAGCCTAGGCTTAGCCGAAACTAGGAAACCAGCCAAGGCATTACATCTCCTTTTCTGCCATGTGAAAAATTTTATTTTTTCTCCAAATTCTTCTCAATTTCACGCAAAGTCCAAATAATCCATTGTCATTGTCCATTGTCAATTTTGATTACCAATTTGATTCAAATTACTTTGAAGTTGCATAGCATCAAACTTTTTTGCCTAGGCAGTGAAAGTATACCTTTTCTGCCTGTTAGGTGTCATTAAAAATCCACTTTCAATGTCATTTGGTGAAAAAATTATTTATTTCCTTATGAGTTCTACTTTGCTAGTTGGGATGCTACTTCAGCAGACCGAGGGTACAACTGCCCAACCAAACTTGGCCTTCACAGACAAATAATCATATAAAAAAAATCGAAAAGAGGAATCTTTGAGCTACCCATCTTTCTCTTTTTGGAGTTGAATTCGATTCACTAGTCGCAGTTCATTCAGTTCTTCTGATTTCCCTCATGTTTCCATATATAATATAAAATATAGTATACCAGGTGACAAAAGATCGAGATTCAACATTGACGAATCATCCAGTATATATCCACGACATTGAAGATAATTAATTTCAAATATTTATAGGTTTTCAATTAGATAATTGCAGATCACAAGGACCTGTGTGGGTATCCTATTATAACATTATGAATTATGAATCATAGATTAAGGATGCAAAAAATACCCACAATGTTTTTTTTGCTTCTATCTATTGGCAATATTGGCATACGTCTCCTGATACGTACAAACTTTCATTTAATGATTCATTCATTGCATATTATATTAATTGATACATAAATATAACAATGTACCTATACCTAACTATAGTCAGAGATACTTTTTTGTTTGGGTGTTATTCAACCTAGTTCTAGTATGAAATTATTATTAAAAGTGATAATCTCTGGCAGAAGTCCATGTTTGCTGAAAGTGGAGTGACATTTTTCATATGAATTTATTCTTTCAGTCATAATTTCCATAATCATGTCAGATGAAAGTTATTTTATTGAGTAAAACTCCCTTTACATATTTTTAAATTTCCATTGAGAGCTATTTTTATAAATTCAAGTACACAGGGTGATTCACGTGGACCGTTTGACTATTCTACCTGTTACTTGGAATAAAAACTCGAAATTTGTTACTGCAATACAGAGTGAATGCAATGATGCCTACGTGAATGGTGATCATACTCAAGCTGTTACACTTTATGAGATCATATCGTTATCATTTTCATACAGCTCAGTCAAAAATGTGTACCGAGCTTTCTGGAGGTGACAGAACATCGAAAAATAAGTATAGTTTGATGAATAAACAAATGGCCCAAAATGTGTATTGAGGGATATTATATCCTTCTAAAGTTGATCAAATTGAAATATTTTTTTTGCATAACTTCTAAACGGTGAAAGCCACCTAATTGAAATATCCTACATGAATGTATGTCGATGAAATACATTTTTCTGATACACTCATATACAGTGTCATTCATAAAGTCGGCATCATATGGGAAAAACTTTTATTAATGACTTATTTTGGAATTCGAGTTGGACATTGAGTTTTGCTTCAAAAAAGATGCAAAACGGCCTACTCAATCGGGGTCACGTGACTTTCGCTACATGTCAAAAGTGACATTTTTTCAAATTAATCGCTGAAAGTAGGCTTAATTGTTCGAATATCGAAAAAGTTCAATTGAAAAAGTTGTTTCTATTTAAATTTTACACATGCTTCTCGATTTTGATTTTTTTTAAATCTTTCGAAATTTCTGTAATATTTGAAGAATTGTTAATTCCACGAAACTACTTCATACCAGTAGCTTTTTCATGCTATTTACTTTCAATTACTTATTATCACTGATTATGGACAGAAATATGATTTTCTTCAGAAAATGATTATACCCGCTTCCAAATTCTGTTATGTTTGATGCAAAATTGATATATCGTCAAGCATTTAGAAACGAAATTCATTTGAACTGATATTTTTAGTACTTACTGAAAAAATGAATTAAAATGAATTTCGTTTCTAAATGCTTGACTCAAACATAACAAAATTTTGATGTTATGTTTGCATCAAACATAACAGAAATTTGAAGCGGAGATTATCATTTTCTGAAGAAAATCATATTTTTGTCGATAATTGGTGATAATTAGTAATTGAAAGTAAGTAGCATGATAAAGCTACTAGTATGAAGTAGTTTTATCGAATTTACAATTTTTTTTAAATTACAGAAATTTCGAAAATTTTTAAAAAATATTGAAATCTAAAAAATGTGATAGAAAGATAAAATCCGAGCCACATATGTAAAATTTAAATGGAAACAACTTTTTCAAGTGAAATTTATCTATATTCGAACAAATAAGCCTACTTTCAGAGATTATTTTGAGAAAATGTCACTTTTGACATGTAGCGAAAGTCACGTGACTCCGATTGAGTAGGCCACTTTTCATCTTGTTTGAAGCAAAACTTAACGTTCAACTCGAATTTCAGAATAAGTCATTGATAAAAGTTTTTTCCATATGATGCCGACTTTATGAATGACACTGTAGTTCTGCGATAGTTATAAAGGGTGTTTTTAGAGGTTGGATCATGATTTTTTGAATACAACTCTTTTCCCTGTACTTATATATATTTTTTATCAATTAACAGGAACATTAGACAAAGCGAAGGAAATCACATGGAAAAGATATTTCTATCAAAATTCGAGGAATTAAACCGTTTTCGAGATATTTGAGTTTTTGTAGTCACATGATATCAGCAGATTAATTCATCGATGACGATATTTAAGGAGCCATGACCAATTTTGCTCTAAATTTTGACGTATATGAATCAACATTGTTATTGTTAATTTCTTCGTTTGGTTTTTTGCTTCGTTATATTATTACTGCGATTTTCAACAGGGATTTCAAGAAATGGCAGGTTATTCGTGAATTCTAGAACAAAAAATGTTTCGAAACGGAAAAAAGAGGTGGTTGCTGGCTAAGAAGTTGGAGGCCTACTAAAATATTGCTACTGATGAATTTACCTGCTGATATCATGTCACTACAAAAACCCAAATATCTCGAGAACGGCTAAATTGTTTGAATTTTGATAGGGGTGCCATTTTTAGGTAATTTTCTTCTCTCTATCAGATGCTTCTATTTTTTTAACGAAGGAAATACAACGAAAGAATATTTCTTCAAAAAATCATGACCCACCCTCTGAAAACACCCTTTATACTATAGTAGAAATGTGCAAAAAACTGTATTCCATCAACACACATTCTTGCAGGAAATCTCAATTTGGTATGGCTTTCACCGATAAGAAATTATGCGAAAAAATTATTTCAACAAACTAATCTTATTTTTCAATATACATCACATCCAGAAAGCTGGGTAGGTACACATATACATACACAATAATTAAAAATCAACTCGCTCCAAAGCTGTTTCAAAATATTCTTGGTTTGGGATGTTATTGGATATAATGAATTTCTATCCGCCATTTTCGAAATTCTCACTAGAGTTTCAAATTGCTTTACGCCTCTTTGCTCAAGCATATTACTGAATCCCTATGCTTTGAAGAACATTAACTACATTTCTTCTACTCATTTGTGTTAACAATGGGATGTTATTCCGGGTCAGGTTATTCGTATTCGCGAAATATATTTCTATTTTTCACGTGAATAACCTTTTCCACAGAGAATTGCAAATTTCGATAGTAGACATGAATTGTGAAAAAATGTCACTTAACTTTTTAGAACCGATTCACTTGGAATAACATTCTTTCAATGTATATAATGATTTTTCTATGTGCAATGTATTAACTGATAATAAAACGATTATTTTCCCATAGCTATGTCCTATGTTAGTTCAACATGCACTGCCAATACTTGCGGACAAAATGCTCAATGCCAAGTGGTCGGAGGACGCCCTGTGTGCTCCTGTTTGAGGGGACATTCTGGAGATCCTCTTTCTTACTGTAAAAGGTACTTATACATAAACATAATTCAATCATTTCAATGAACATAAATTGAGCATTAATACATTGAATATGAAGAAAACAAACAATGTGAAATAATCATATTCGAATACGAATAAAAACATCAATACATTTATGGTAACAAAATGGGGAAGTTTTCTATATTGAGGTTTCCATCTCACTGTAAAGTTTAGAAAAAATTGATATAAATGTATGTTTCCTTTTTTCCGTAAGATCAAATTTCCCTTCAGGAAAAATAAACGAAAGAGGAACTTGGCTCCTCCATACAATTAGCATCAATTCCGGCCTTCCACAAGGATCAATTTTGGCACCAACATTATTCCTTCTTCATATCGATGATCTGTTGGGAGTAACAACTTGCCCCATCCACAGCTTTGCAGATGATAGTACCCTCCATACTGCGTTCTCTTCCAGCATTCCCATTTCTTCCCAGGAAACTAAGAACTCACGGCGCATGCAGGTCAATGCTGTCAATGAAGACCTTGCTGAAATCACAGCCTGGGGAACCAACAACTTAGTTGAATTCAACGCCACCAAAACTCAAGCCTGTATTTTCTCCAGAAAGGCGGAACTCAGTATGCCCAATATTGTAATGTCTGGCACCACCATCCCCACCAAGCCCACCATATCTATGCTCGGTATATCCATTAGCAACACTCTTTCATGGGATAATCATGATGTCAGATCTATCGCAAAAGCTGCTTCACAAAAACTCGGATTCTTGTTCCGTGCGAAATGCTACTTTACACCTCAACAGCTCCTCATGATCTACAAAGCGCAGATACGGCCTGTTCTAGAATACTGTTCCCACATATGGGGTTCAGCACCGAAACATACGCTGATGCTCTTAGATTCCATCCAGAGAAGAGCCATCCGCCTGGTGGGTGACGCAACACTCACTCGCTCTTTGACATCATTGGAACACCGTAGAATGATCGGCTACCTTTCACTTTTCTATCGATACTTCCACGGGAAATGTTCTTCGGAAATCTCTGCTATCATCCCTTCACTAGCAATACCAGTCAGGCGAACTAGACAACCCCAGTCAGCACATCCTTTCGTTGTCAACCTCGAAAGTTGTCGAACAGCACTTTATCAAAACTCCTTCATCCATAGAACGGCTAAGCTCTGGAATTTATTGCCTGAGGAAGTATTACCAACAACATATAGTCTCCAGAAGTTAAAAAAAATTCCAATACCTACCTCCTGTCCCTATCCTACCTAGGAACGCACGATGTTCTTTGAACATTATAGAGGGATTCCCTTTCGTGAGCTCCAAGCGATAAAAAAATGTCGCTTCTCATAATCTACAAAGCATACATACGCTGATGCTCTTAGATTCCTTCCAGATAAGAGCCATTCACTACTGGGTGACGCTACACTAACTAATTCTTTGACATCATTGGAGCACATCAACACCGTAGAAAAGTTGGTGACCTTTCACTTGTGAATACTTACTTCTACGAGAGGTGTTTCTCAGAAATATTTGCTATCATTCCATCACTATAGCGATACCAGTCAGAAAAACTCGACAAGTCCTGTCAGCACTTCATGTCGTTGTCAACCTTAAAATATGTCGAAAAACACTTTTTCAAAATTCGTCCCGCAATAGAACGGCTAAGCTTTGGAAATCCTTGCCAATGGAAGTATTCGCAAGAACTCATAATCTACAAAGTTCGAAAGAAAAATCTAGTATATACCTACCCAGAATACAAATTTACGTCGCTAACGCATACACATTACATAATTTCGTTGATCAGTTACGTAACTTACGAGGTACGAGGTAAGAGGTTCAAAATTCATAAGTTAACTGTGCATAATGTCCGCATCACGTTACAAACTAGTTATATTATTGTTACATCAATGAGTAGTCAAAGTGACGTCAGAATCTATAGATATCATTTACGTCTCACTTATATAATTGAGAGATAACTATTATACTTCTGTGAGTATAGATATATTTAAAAACAGACTATATACTTTGTGTCATGTTCATTGAGACTTTTTTCTGAACATTTGTATGACTTATGACACCCAATCCTTAGACACACCATGCATACAGTGACATGAAAAACGATTTCAGATCCGAATGCCTCGACGACTACGAATGTGCTGGCCAGCTGACGTGCAGAGACGGCAAATGTATCGACCCTTGCGCCGGCACTTGCGGTGCCAACGCCCTGTGTGAAGCAAGACGGGGCATCCCTATTTGCAACTGCCCACCGGGGTATACAGGAAACGCCATCACTTCATGCAGAAGATTCGATCCAGGTATGAACCCGACATAGCCTAAAGAACCAATAAAACCGATCAAAAGTCAAAACACGGCAGGCGATTTCATTTGGCACAGAATCATAGACCTAAAGGGTCTTTCAACAAGGTCCGGTCGATGTTGACAGTGTGTGGCGGCCATGTTTTTTTGGGGCATCTAAACCTGTTGTATTAAACTTCATTATCAAAATGAGTGTTCGTTAGTGCAAACGTTGCGCGCATTGCGCCCATATTACGGCAGATGCGGTGGCCCTTCAAAGTCGACTCTCCAAAGTTTGGTAGACAAATTTGAGACAACCGGTACGGTAAACAAACAACCAATACCCTTACATCGAAGGAACGCCAGATCGGCCGATAATATCACTAGAGTCTCGAGATCATACCCGTGTGTTCATTTCGTTGATCAAGCTCAAGGTATACATATATACGTAGAATGTGAAAAATCGAGATTTTTTTTGTATCGAAACTATATACAATACCTACAGTGATTTGTCAAAATGGCTTACATGTGTCCCTATCCTAACATTCTATTTACTATCAACTGATGCCATTTAATTGAAACAAATACAGGGTGGATCAGATTTCAGAATTATATAAAAGAAGTACTATAGTATGCCTACTAAAAAAATATACATATTTGAAATAAACAAAACAAATATATCACATAAAAAAACACACTATAATATTCAACATGGAATAAAATTCAATCCCACTGGATGTATTTAAAAATATAAACAGTGTGCATGTCACTTCTAATGGAATCAACCCGTATATCAAACGTAACTGTTCAATTTTAAGGAGCGATAGATATATACCGGGTGACACAGGGTATCGGGCCACCCCTGTAACTTCTGCTCTCGTCATCGGATTTTTCTGAAATTCGGTACAGTTATATAAGCATTTATTTCGGATTTGATCACATTACAATCCAATATGGCGGACTTCCGGTATTTCTGGAAATGCCAGCAACTCTGTTTTTTCAAACGAAACACCCTGTATATTTTTACATATTCAAGTTCAACAGGTCGAAACAAGTGCAATCTTTATTTCAAATGTCATTTTTTCGAAAAAAATTAAATTAAAATTGTTTTTCTATTTTACCTCGTGGATAAATGAGATGTGGTCAAGACTATTCACAATGAGTCACACATAACAGAAGAACATAATTTTTTATGAAAAATTATTTTTTGTGTCACTTATCCAGGAATCAATTCAGCCACATCACTTTTTGATCAAAAATTATTTTTTTTCAAATGGAACCCCTATGGGCCACCTACCCGTCTCTCTAGAACATGCATTAAGGAACAAAATGACATATCATTTTTGTTTTTCTGTGCAGTAACAAATTGTATACATTCAAAAATCAACAACTAGTTTATGAATTTCCTTGCAGTTAAAATAATTTGTCAACTAGGTAGGCTGTGGAATAAATGACATTCGACATCAAGATTGCACTTGTTTTGACCTGTTGAACTTGAATATCTAAAAATATACAGGGTGTTCCATTTGAAAAAACAAAATTGCTGGCATATCCAGAAAAACCGGAAGTCCACCATATTTGATTGTGATGTGATCAAATCCGAAATAGTTGCTTATATAACTGTACCGAATTTCAGAAAAATCCGTTGACGAATGCAGAAGTTACAGGGGTGGCCCGATAACCTGTGTCACCCGGTATACCAACTATGACCAAAGTGAGGTAATCTTCAGTGAAATACATGCACTGCTCGGGTCATGGACCCACCAACATTTCCAGAAAATGATATTAGGAGGCAAGATAGGTTGAAAATCACTTCGGATTCGAAATCAGGACGTAACCCTGTACCTCGAAAACGAAGCGAGTTTAGGACACATGTTTATATGACCTTTATTCATCATATTATATCACAAGGAATCATCCCTTGAATTATTTCGGTGTTATTTAGATACACCCTCAGGGGCGGATCCAGACGATGTTTGAGGGGGGGGGCCATAGAAAGTCACGGCTCAATAAGGTTAGCGCGGAAGAGAAATTATATGAGACAAATGCTTTTTCATTAAAAAAACTGATCATAGTAAACATCGAAATTACTGGTGTAAAAAATTTTTCCATCAATGTATGTAGAATTCTGTAATAAATCATATTGGATAAAAGAAGTGAATGAAAAAATATTTCTGTTGAAAAACTTGGGTACAAAAGTGAATGAAAATATTTCTCTTCAAAAATAAAACAAATGACGAAACAGACAAAAATAAAAATATATAGAATAAAGGAAACAAATTCCAGTCTTCTATTCTTCTGCCTAGCTTATCTTTGGATGATATCATCAACATTCAGACTGCTGCAGATGCCCCTGTGAATATGCATTAATGCCAATCCATTTAACCAGTCTTGGACCATTCTGGATCTTATCCAATTTTTCAGCCTTCTGAGTGTTGAAAAATTTCTTTCAGAAGATGCAACACTTACAGGTAGGCAACAAAATAGTTCCAGAAGGATGTTTATGTTAGGAAACAAATGTTTGTTACATTCCTTCAGGGCAGTTATACCATTGTTTGGTATATTTTGCTTAGTATCCCTCATTTTCTTCCATATATACATTTCAGAAACGATCTTCTGGAAGGACATTTCATTATCCTCCCCAAAACTGTTCAAGTATATTTCCCATACCTCATAAATTTCCTCATCTGTTTTGTTTTTAGTTATTGAGATGGCACACAAAGGTGAAGGTTGTGTAGATTCAATTCATTTTCTGATATTCCTTCTTTCAGATCAATAATAATACTGGAATGAAAACAGTTATTCTGTAATGGTCATCCACTGAGGAAACCGTATTTGGTCTATGAACCATTCTCCCTGTTATTCTCGGCATCGAAAATTCAACATTCAGTTCTTTCAATTTCTGTTTGGCTGCATTCGAAATACTTAGATAGTAGGTATTTAGAATATAATCCCTTATATCTGGAAGCGTCTGAAGAGTGATTATAACAACATCGTTAGCTTGTTTTTGGTTTGGAGCAAATTACTAAGTGGCAGTGTTATCGAAAATATATTTGCCAAACAGCAGAGTGTAATTACAAATTCGCAATTCCTGCGAAGTTTCTAGCTATAAAGACATACACTAATTTTTCCATTTATTCAAAATACCTACATTTTTACATGTCCATGAGGTGCTCGAGGGGGGGGCCATGGCCCCATGGCCCCCCCCCTGGATCCGCCCCTGTACACCCTGTATAGATCATTCTTCATCCCAATATAGTTATTCAACATTTTTCCCATAGCGAAGTTCAGCAAATACCGATGGCGAGAGCACTATGTTTATTGATTTGATGTCTACCTATAATACCTATAATTATGTAAAACAAGAAGGCACAACTATAATGTTCCGTTTCGAAGTACATTAAATTGACAAATTTGACTCCAAAATAATTCAGGCACGCGCCAATATTCATAACGTAGTTACTGCTACCCGTTTACGTTTCCCTACTGTTTAGGGAACGATCGGGCGTGTTCGGTGAACACACGGGTATGATCTCGACTAGTGATAATATCGACGCTGTCCGTCAGAGTGTGCAGGAGACTCCGGCCTTTCGCAGACTTCGACTTGGAGAATTTTGCGCCGGGACTTGGGCCTGCACCCGTACAAGATCCAACTGACCCAGCAGATCAAAGTTAATGACCATAGGCAACGCCGTTTGTACGCTCAGTGGGCTTCGGAACGTTCGGAAGAGGGCCCCGATTTTGACCGAAAAATAATCTTTAGCGACGAGGCCCATTTCTGGATGAATGGTTTTGTTGATGAGCAAAATTGCCATATATGGGACGAACACAACCCACAGGAGGTTCACCAGGTGGCACTGCATCCACAAAGAGTTACTGTTTGGTGAGGACTTTGGTCCGGCAGCGTCATTGGTCCGTACTTCTTTGAAAATGACGTTGGCGAGGCCATCACCGTCAACGGCGAGCGCTACAGATCAATGATTAAAAATGTCTTTTGGCCTAAATTGAACGATATTGACGTGGACGACATGTGGTTTCAACAAGACGGCGCAACGTGCCACACAGCGAACGATACAATCATAGATTAATGATACAATGGACATTCTGCACGAACGGTTTGAGGGTAGGGTTATCCCTTGCAGAGGTGATGTGAATTGGCTGCCAAGATCGCCCGATTTGACTCCACTAGACTTTTTCTTGTGGGGTTTTCTGAAGTCGCAGGTATTTGTTAATAAGCCGCAATCGACTGATGCCCTGAAAGTGAACATAACGCAAGCCATTGCTCAGATTCTGCCGGATTTATGCAGCAGAGTCTTTGAAAATTGGACCTCTCGGATCCGTGCCATCGTTCGAAGCCACGGCGGACATTTGAAGGATGTCATATTCTATAAATGATGGCATGAATGGGCTTTTCAAATAAAATAAAAAAATCGTTGATATCTCACACACAGCTTGTTTAATTCAATTACAACATCGACCGGTCCTTGTTGAAAGACCCTTTATAAAACCGGGCGTAACAGGATCATGGTACAGCAAACCATTTTAATGAACTTAATTTGGTGATAAATCAAGGAATTCGACATTTTTTATAGGAACCACTTTGTTATCATTACACCTGTCGTACATCAGACTCGATCAGAATAGAAGTGGCACACTGAGATGGAAAATCACTATTGATGTTTGAAATGTCACTTTGTGTTATTATTGGATCCAGTAAGTGATGCAGAATTCGAAAATACAATTAAATACAGTGTGTCCTATTTGAAAATCGGAAGTAATAAGTGGAAAATAAAACATATTTATGTCAAGAAGTAACATTCATCAAGTTGATCAGCCCTTCTAAAATGCAATGACATATCTCTATAAAACTAAAGGAGAAAATAATGTTGAAACATGATCCTGTTACACCCGGTTAATCTCGTTTTTTCGTTTTTCGTCATTCTTTTGGACCACAGGCCGAACGAACAATATACCTATTTATTGCTGCCACTTTCTAAAATCAGGAGATTCCAACTGAAAATCGATAGATTGTCTATGATTCTCTTTGACTCACGGTAGATTTCGATAGTGAATCGTTAGTCTGTAGAAAATTCAGAAAATCGGGAGATCTTCCGAATTATCGGAGTAGTTGGCAGCACTGATCGGTAAGTTATATTTTTATATCATAATACGTACATCATATCAGTGGCGGCTCGTGACTCTCATGATAGAGGAGGCTGAATGATATGAGATTCATTGTGAAAAACAACTCTCTACTCACCCAAATCAATAGCTTTAATGACAATCTGTTAACCAGTTAACCTGAACTTAATACTTGAAGAGATTTATTCCCGTGATTCGCAGTGTCTATCCAATCCGCGAGACAAATTTTTCAAATCATTTTATCCTAATCGCCCCCAACATGATGACTTATCGGTTGAAAATAATACGCAGTAACAACAAAATAGCTCATTCCTTACCTCAGATCCCGTCAACCAGATATATTTTCTTAAATAATCAGAATTAAAAGGACGATTTTGTTTGTTACCTGTTATAATCGGACGTTTGTTTTCCACAATCAATTTATCTTCATAAGACAAGGCACTGAATGGGTTCACCAAAAAGTATTCCACTAAATCGCAATCGTTTAAAACACTCATTTTTCAGATATTCATAGAGCCCCTAACCAAACCTAACATAAACATAAACAATGCATCCGCGCTTTATTGTCCGCAATTCGCGACGCGACACCACAAACACGTGCTATTTGGGCGTATTCGGGCATTTGCATTGCGCGCGAGGGTTTCGACTTTGTGAAGGAGTCTAGCCTCCTATAGATGTTGCCAAGTTGAATATTTAACGCGTGATTTGCAGACGTGTGATGCGTGGGCAAGCACTATTGCCAATTCAAAAATATTTATCTAAAAACAGGAAATAAAATCAAAATCCATGTATTTTGGTGTCCTTTTAATAAATAAGAAAGTATAGATAATATAAGTTTAAGGAAAATCTCTGAGGAGGCTCAGCCTCCGTTGCCTCCTCTGAGGAGCCGCCACTGCATCATATTATTCTTTTTGATTTGAGAGATGATGTCAATTCTCAATTTCGGAGGAATTTGATTTTTCGTGCTCTCTTTTTGGATATTCAACAGGATATAATTCAATGTTCGACGTGGCGAATAGCCAGGAAAGTAGTTGTTTTCTGGTAAATATTCAGAATTATATTATATGCATATCCTTATATGAAGGAGAATGCGAATTCTTATCATGTGTGTTCAATAGATGTAATTCAATATTCGTCATGGCATATAGCCAGGAAAGTAGTTTTCTGTATGAACCGAGAAAGAATTGATATTTTCATCACATGGAGAATGCGAATATATATCAATTTTTTTGTTTTCATAAATATATCTGAGAATATTCCTTTTCAATATTGATCGGAAGTTTATTGTTTCCAGAGGAACTCTGCCACCCGAGCCCTTGCGGCCAGAACACGAACTGCGAAGTAAAGAACGGCGTGCCGACTTGTTCCTGCCAGCCCGGCTACCATGGCTCGCCATTGGCAGGCTGCCGGCACGAATGCGAGAGCGATGCCGAGTGTGGACCGTCTGCCGCCTGCATCCAGTTCAAGTGCCAGAATCCTTGTTTGACGCAGTGCGGCAAGAATGCCGAGTGCGAGACGATCAGCAACCATAAGGCTGTTTGCAAGTGTCCAAAGGTATACTTTATCCAAAATCAATTGACATACCTGCACTCACTTCAAAGGGAACTTAACACCCGCCAATGACGCGCGGTGCGGGAAATGCTGCAGTTGACTTTGGATAGACTTCAATGCAGAAATATGGAAAGGGGTAGTCGGATCATTTCGTTACAGAGCGTTATTCGTCCTTTCTTCCTTGATGGATTCAAAGGGAATCTGTTTGTGGTATTCCAGTCAATTGTTATGATCCCAGTTTATCCTATATTTTGTGCTGTAAAGCATATGGCACCATCTTTCTTAGATGTTTCGTTAGAAATCCCTCTATTGCCTTGAAACTAAGTTTGCTGAGGATCAATCAATGTGTTCGATCTTGCTCGGTTGAAATTGTTGGCCTGCCGCAGTCCTGGAAGTATTCGCCAGTGTGTTGCTGGCATTATTCCTTCAACTTCATTCAGTTTTTTTTTAGAACCAGGCATTTTTAAAACCGCATAATGATTCTGGCTCGATCGTTGCTTGTTCTTTCTCCTACAATCCATAATGTACCCCGGCACCTAGAAGAAGATTACCTTGTTCCTGCCTAGATTGTTGGGTTTTGTCTAGGCATTACCAATTCCGCATTCGATATCAAAAGAGCTCAACGCCTCGATGGCTGCTTGGCTGTCGTGAGGATAGCGATTTCCTTGTTCTGGTAATTTCTTTCGAGGTTGACCTGGATGAGTCTTTCGATGGCCTGAATTTCCGCTAGGGTACTGGCCAATCGCTTCGGAATATTCAGTGCGAGGCACAAACACTCATGCTCCAGTTCCCTCGGATGATTTATACCCGTCTGTATATCATATCATGGTATTCTTTCCCAGTGATTGGATGGATTTTGTGCACCATCCTCTCTTGATTAGTTCCTGGTAATTTCATCAGTTGGCAGATAGGTGAGGTGTGCACTTTTAATGGTCAGTGGATCCCTTGCCCTGTGTGCTTTTCCTTTGAGCCCTGCCTTCTCCAACCTGAGATGTGCTCCTCAAGCAGTTCTACTCACCATGATGTTTAGTGATGTGAAGGCCAGAATGATCTTAGTGCTGCTGTTGGAGTCGATTCCATTGCTCCTGTTATGTAGACATTGGTCTTTGCACCTTCTCTGAAATTTTTCTTGTTGCAAATATGGATCTGCCGTGCAACTACTGCTCCGTATAGATCTATCGCAGTATTGATGGGTTGCGACCCCATGCCCTTTCAGCAATGTTCTTGCACACTATCACGGACTGAACTCAACAGACGGCTAGTTCCTAAATAAAATTTGATGTGGAGATTCGACTATCGCGTATAAAACCACATCATTTTCCACAGCTACTTCGGCAACCCGTGCTCGTCCTGCCAGCCAAAGTACTACGGTGAGGTCAACTTTCCCAAACACGGCGTCTGCACGAGCCCCTGTTTCGGCGAATACGGCGTTTTTCCTCATCATTCCGATATTTTTCCCCAACATCTCGGGATTTTTTCTAAAAATTCTAAGATTTTCCCATCACTTTCCAGAACTACTTCGGCAACCCGTACTCGTCCTGCCAGCCGGAGTGCTACGGTGACGTCGACTGTCCCAGCCACAAACCAGCCTGTTTCTACGGTATCTGCAAGAGCCCCTGCGACGGGGCGTGCGGCGTCGGCGCCGATTGCAAGCTGCGCGGCCTCACACCCGTCTGCTCCTGTCCCAGGGACATGACAGGAGATCCCTTCGTCCGGTGCAGGCCTTTCGAAGCCAGTAAGTACACTCTTCCATTCGTGAACCCGGTTGTGCAATAGTTTTACACCAGTTTTGCACTACGTTGGTTTTCTCCAGAATATGTATGTACTGGCGCATGCCCAATGGAATACCAAATGATATGATGATAAAATTATTCTTAGTAATAGCATTATTTCAATTGAATGAAGAGATATAATTACATTATCAATACCGAAGAGTGACAGCCATATATGTACCTATGTCTATATATGGCACATCGCCTATACGATATATATCTTAACAAAAATGGGACCAAAATGAGAGGTACTTTTTTAGGACGGAAAGTGAAGGATGGAAACAGTCATATTGGTTTGACAAGTTTCGTACTATTCTTTTTCTACGTCGGCATCAACGCCTATTCGATTTCTTTATCTATATATATATATAGAGACAAAAGTTTGTCCCGCTTTGAGGACAGCTATGATTCATATATGAGTACTAAATATATGGTGACAGCGAACATATTTTCAAATTAACAAGTAGGTAGGCAGTATTTTCAGAGTGGTATTTATTCATCACTATTTGATGAAGATGATTAGATTGCCACTAAATTGCCTTTCACTATTGATTTTCAAAAGACTCCGTGATTTTCAAAACTGCACTGACTTCGTACGATCTGTTTTCAGATTTTTGGATTGTTCGTAAGAACAGGGTTGAGATTACCTATGTCAGCATTTTGGAACATGAGAGGTGGTATAAATGATCTTAAAAGTCTCAGTGACATATTACCTTCGTGTACGACTCTTTCCGAAATCAGGAATTTTCATGGATAGATTATTCCCTGATCGTGTCAATGTCTCGACTTTTCTAAACTTATTTTTGTTATTATCATAATCACAATGCACAATATAATAACACTTTACTTATAAGAAGTTATCGTAACACTTATAAACAAACACGGAAAAATCACTATAGGGATCTGCAGAACTTGACCGTCATTCAACCCTAATGATAACTATACAGGGTGTCCGTTTTTACGAGGTCGGTTAAATTAGGGCAAAGTTGTGCATTCTCATGTTGAACTTTTATCTGAAAGGAAATTTGATCTGTCATTTTCAGGTTTTGACTAATTGGAAGAAAAGGAAAATTTAACATTTTCGTTCCAAATTTTTCAAGCAAAAAACAAAAAACCTAGGCGTTTCTGACAGGGACATTCTGAAGGCAATTTTTCACAAGGAATCTGAATCTGTTATTGTATTTCCCATGAATTTCTTGATGCCAAAGTTACAACACACAACTTTGTTTTTTCTTATGGGCGCGATATTGGATTCTTGCATTTTTTTATTACAATGATGTATCACAAGATATGATCGAATCTTTCCTGTTGATCAAAATTAGGAAAAAACATGTTTGCGAAGAGTGCTTTGGAAAAAACGCCAACAGTTTTGTTTCACGAAATGAATTTCGACAGTTTATGTGAATTTAGATCTGGAAATTTCACATTTTCGTCAAGCTCATCTACTTAAAAACTATGGTTTTGAATTAGTAACGACGTAATGAGATAGAACTCTATTTTTCGCAAAACAAAACAACGAAAAGTTATAGGAGATGCTCGAATACCTTCCACTTATAAACACAATTCTACGCATTTCCTCATATACTGAATTGCTCGCGAGATGTACCGTCTTCTCGTTTAACTCCTGAAAGTGGTGTTTATGGTCCTTCTCAGCTCATCAATATCGATCGGTACAGTTTTGAAACTCGAATCTTTCAAAGTTTCCAATAGATAATAATCCAGCGGAGAGAGGTCAGGTGACCGCGTATGTCTCAGTTATTAGAAGTTATACCTTGTCAGGGAACATCTCTGACAGACACTCAGCAACCCTTCTTGCGTAATGTGGTTAAGGTTAAGAATTAAACAGTTCTGTTCGCATATTCAATCGACCTGTCAAAATCCACTTTGTTAAACCATTGTCGTTCTGGATGACAACCTAGTTAGGTAGTTAGTAGGCAGGAGCTATAATATTGTCTGTTCATTGAAAAGACAAATGAAGAAAATATGTAGTTCAGAGACATCTACGTGAATTAAGTAAACTAAGTTATTCATTTTTTATTCCTAACCGTAACATTTTTCATGGTCCTGTCAAGTTTGTAAATAAAAATCTGTCATGTGGAATCCCGAAAATGAAACATTTTCACGAAGGATATTATCAATAAGTATGAAAACCATCTACCTATACTTGAATGGAAGCAGGAAGATGTTTAGGCAATGCTGTATTAGTATGATTTATGATGCAACTTGAAATTAAGTTGGAACTGTGGAAACTTCGGAAACTCAATAGTGCTATTACACTTTTTCGACATGCAAGCCAAGCAGAAAGGTAGGGGCTGGTTATTTCCTTCTATATTTTTGATAAGTTACTATATAATTCATGAAATTCCATTATTTGCAGTGAACACATGTCTAGTGATGTAAATCGGAATCACTATATACTTGAAAATTTCAGGTACCTAGCTACAGCGAAGAGTACTTACATTAATAGCTTTTCAGTTGAAAAACGAAAAACTATGAGTGATGTGGAAGTATCACATTAGAAATCATTATGTGAGTAAAGTTCAGAAGGAATGTACCAGAAGGATATGATGATGTTCGAGAACAGAATGGAAAATTTACCATCTGAAATAAATATATAGAAGCACTAAGGTTAGACTCAATCTGGTTATTTCATCAATGTCTTATGGATATTCTGCTCCAAACACAAAATATCATTATATTTTTTATAGATAGGTACCTCCTTGAAAGTCGAGCTGCAAATATATCCAGTTCACAAGATTTTATGAAAAAACACACAAGAAAATGGGGCAGTGAATAAAATCAGAAACTTTTCATCCTGTAGTTCGATGAGCTGAATCCAGATAAGTAGTAAGAACAACGATTTGTTTGCTGGAAATTGCCAGTCCCCAGCATTCCATTCTAGGCTGCAAATTATACACACCCCAATGTATATTCAATTCATCTATTTTTCAAGCAATCAATTAGATGATGAGGGACATGATTGTGATATTCCACTCCAGCACACTCAGGACCATTTTCGTAGTGAGCCACTCAGAATTTCACTAGAGTGAAGTGATTTCAAGATATAGGAATCATCCTCAGATATATGGTATTCTATTGTTCAGGGTTCCTTGTCAAGATGCTGGGATATTTAGAATTTTTTATTGGAATATAACTTGTATGTATGGATGGCAATATAACTTTTTTAATGAATTGTACATAATTATGAAGAATTATTTCAATTTTCATTCTACTATATAGTTTGTTCTCTTCTGATACCCTGTTTATTGTTGTACAGATGTATTGGCAGGTAAGTTTGAAAACACTATGTAATATTGTACCAATATTGTATATAGGTACAAGTATTTTTGAAGTAAAACAATGATTATTTTTTATTAAATCATCTTATTGAAGCTACGAACTTCACTAAATATGAGAAGATGTGTCTATTATTGCCACAAATTAAACCACAGGAATATTCAATACCAATATGTATCTTTTTAATTTATATTCAAGTCAACATTTTGAATGAACTTTATTATTATTTATTATCATTCTATAATATCTGTTCAAATGCCCGTTTCCTCCTCAGATGCTTCTTCATCATCAGGTCGTGTTCCTTAAGGCAGGAATTCCTCTTCAGCATCATATTCCAAACAACATTGATGAGTCTGGAAATTAGTTAGTATAGGTACAAACTTGTTAAATACCATTTTATTTATATATTCCTACCTTGAACAAACTTGGAACCATACTCTCTTTCCAAAACCGTTTCCTATTCTTCATTGGCAAGAAACAGTTCCCTTAAAATGTTGGAAACATATAGTATCATGTTCGTTTACTTCAAAAACTCACATTCCTGAAATATAAATATCATTAAGTTTCAAATATTATGCGATTCAAGAAAAAAAGTTCACCTTGATATCCAATGAATATGGCGTGAACCCATTGATGCCCCAGGATTTGAGGCTCAAATTCACAACAATGGGGATTGGAGAAACCATGTCTTGATAATTCAATTACACCTTCACCTTCTGGAGTGCGCAGTTTTCAGATGACATTGCAAAATAACACAATCGCACTCACAAACCAATCAACAAACTTTGATAGAAAACCAATACTAGAAGAAATGAGTATAGGTATAATTGTTATTTCCAAGAAAGGAAATCAAAGTTCAACACATCCACAAAGACGAAGTTATAAGTTAATGACAACTGTCAGAAAATGATTTTATGATTACATGAATCTTCTCCATCGTCTTCCTATCAAATATCACGTCAATGATAAAAAGCACGTCTGTGGTTGAGTACATATTGGAGAAAAATAGAAGAAGAGAAAATTCAACCTAATATGGTCTATTTTGACATAAACAAATGAGCTCTTTCCAATTTCTCTGCCTCAGCGCCACTTGACAGACAGACATATTTTGATTGAATGAACAGACAATATTATACCTCCTCGCACTAGGTCGCCTACTAGGTTTTCATTTAGATCGACAATGGTTAAACAAAACTGTTGGCGTTTCATCCAAAGCACTATTCGCAAAAATGGTTTTTCCCAATGTTGATCAACAGGAAAGATTCGATCGTATCGTGTGATACATCATTGTAATAAAAAGAAGACTTTTCAAAAATGCAAGAATCCAATATGGCGCCCATAAGAAAAAACAAAGTTATGTGTTGTAACTTTGGCAAGTTCAAGTGGTCGCGACCGATCGGCAATCGATAACTCTCCTTGTGGTTCTAATGATCTCACCTTTCCATTTTCTTAGGAGACCTGTGCGAACCGAACCCATGTGGATCCAACGCCCACTGCGAGCCAGGTTTCGACAGGTACAACAAGGAACGACCAGTTTGTACATGTCCTTTCGGGTACACCGGAGATCCGCTGAAGGCCTGCTTCAAAGGAGAGTGTACTGAGGACGGGCATTGTGCAGACAGCCAAGCTTGCATTGAATACAGGTGAAAACTTTTGCATGTTTTCGATCTGATAAATTACCACTATACAGTCTGTCCAAGATAAGGTTGAACAGCATGGGGATCTCGGAAACGGTAGGAGATACGAAGTCGCTCAAATGGGGAAAAAAGTTGCGCATTCGGAGGCTCATATCAAGAGCCTCCGAAAATTTTGAAAATTATTTTTAGTTTTTGAGTTATATCGAAAAAAGTGAATTTTTGGAATTTCTATTTTATTTTTTTTCTCCGTTATTATCAGAGATACAGAAAAACTGAAAATACTTTTTCATTGCAACTTTTAATGAGGTTTAACGTGGTGATACCGATTTTTTTATGCGACGTTTCGTATTCTTGGAACCATCATCAACTTTTGTTTTTTAAATACGGTCCTGATAATTTTTTCACAGATTCTGAAAGGTTTTTTTATTCTGAATTCAACAATGTACTATACAAGGTGATTCGAATGTGTTTCGACCTATTTCTATCCATCATCAATGTTTTTTCGAACTTCCAAAAGAAAAAAAGCCATCAGTTCCACTTATTTCTTATCATTTAGTGTCAAACTTGATGGATTAGTTATTCAATACTGAAAAGTGGATAAAAAATATTTCACTACATCATTCGATCAATGCAGCGTTTAAAATTGTTGATGAATTCTTACACGAATTACTTTAACAACTCTACTTTGACAATACCTACAGAGACATTCATAACAAATGTTCAAAATGATAACCATTATTTTCTGAACAAAGATATCCTCGTCTCACAGTTGTTTCTAAGACATTGCTAAGCATTTCTGGGGTTATTCTATTGAATGCTTAGAAGGCACTGTCCCTTAGTTCTTCTTCATCCTCGAAGTTATTTGCGTGTACAAAGTTCGATATATCCCCTAAGAAAAAATCCAGCTGTGTTAAATCAGGCGACCGCGCCGGCCAAGGGATAAAAACGCACGGACTTCTCTGGAATTATGTACCGGAGCGCCATCTTGTTGAAACCAACAGAGTTCTGAACTTCCGCAATCGGTAAATCATCCAGAGCTTCCTCAAGATGATTCTCAAGCGAATTTCTATAACGTTCGGAAGTCTGTGTTTCATGGTAAATAAAAGGAACAATAATTCGTGTACCAAATATTGCAACCCACATAACGGTGTTGGTGTCTCGCTGTAATGTATAAATGTTCATTTTCTCGTGAACAATAATGTGTATTTTTTCTATCGAAGCTACCATGATTAGTGACCATGCTTTCATCAGTCCAGATGATTTTTCGAAAGAAATCTGCAAAATTTTAACATTTCCTGGTATACCACTCACAGAATGTCTTGCGACTTTCGTCATCGCCTGGTTTTAGCGCTTGACATATTCTGAATTTGTATGGATGGAATTTTTGTTTCCGCAAAATGAAATGGGTTGTTGATTGAAACCAGTTGATGAGGTATTAGTGTGTTGACTAATTTTCCTTCAAAATAAGTGGAACTGATGGCATTTTTCCTTTGGAGTTTCGCAAAAACATTGATGATGGCCAAAAATAGGTCGAAACACAAATGAACCACCTTGTATAATACATGGTTGAATTCAGAATAAAAAAAACCTTTTAGAATCTGTGACAAAATTATCAGGACCGTATTTAAAAAACAAAAGTTGATGATGGTTCCACGAATACGAAACGTCGCATGAAAAAATCGGTATCACCACGTTGACCGTCATCAAAAGTTGCTATGAAAAAGTATTCTCAGTTTTGCTGTATCTCTAATAATAACGGAGAAAAAAAATAAAATAGAAATTCCGAAAATTCACTTTTTTCGATATAACTCAAAAACTAAAATTAATTTTCAAAATTTTCGAAGGCTCTTGATATGAGCCTCCGAATGCGCAACTTTTTCCCCATTTAACCGATTTCGTATCTCTTACCGTTTTCGAGATCCCCATGCTGTTCAACCTTATCTTGGACAGACTGTATAATCATAGAGTTTGCTTTAATGATAAAATCTGACAGGGGACAGAAGTAAAAAGCCATAAAGACATGTTTTTGTCTCAATGTCTTACTCAAAGCTCTAGCTGAACTTCTCTATTGATATTTTATGTTTCAGATGCCAGAATCCTTGTACCAACCAGTGCGGGGTGAACGCCAATTGCAATCCGAGACGCCATCTTGCTGTGTGCACTTGTCCCACCGGGTACAATGGGGATGCCCTGATTCAGTGCCACCCCACTAGAAGTTTACCTGCTGCCAGATACTTATCCTGTTCAACCTGTTGAAGAAGACGATTCCAAACGAACTAATTTGAGTAGCGCGTCATTTTATGTGAATAGTGTTATAGAATAACTACATTGAACAAGTAACAAATATGAAACTGTTATTAATTGTACTATAGCGAGGTTTGTTGAAGAAAGAACATCTCTTATCCCTCTGTAATTTCAAAATAGATTATTAAGATTATTTTCGAGAAAGACGTTCATTCTCTGTGTTGTGGTTTATTGCCTTACCAGATCCAGTGCTGCCCCACCAGGAGTGTGACTGCTACGCTACCAGCTACTTGTCCTGTTAGACTTGTTGAAGAACGATTCCAAACAAACTAATTTATCAATTTGAAGAAAGCGCGCGTCACTTTATGTGAATAATGTGCTGTAGAATAACCACATTGGACACGTAACACATTTCAAATTGTAACTAATTTTACTTCTGAGAGGGTTTGTTCATACCTCTTGTAGTTTCAAAATATCTAATTATATAAGATTCTATTCGAAAAAAGCGTTTTCCTAATTTCGACATATAATTTGACACTTTTCAAAACTGACGGAAGTTTTGAAACGTCTCACTTTACGTAACCAGTTGCGTAAAGTAAAATTTTACATAACTGGTGCTGTAATGTTCATTTCAACACCAGTTACGAAATAAGAATATGGATGGACGAAGAGAAATTGATTCAAATCTGTAGCTATACAAATAAACAAACAGGAATTCAATTAGAATAAACATTTATAACACAATTAGTACAATTAGAAATATTAATTCCCGATGTAAGAGAAGTTGAACTCGTGGAACTGGTTGTGATTTGATTATTAGTTTGGCCAAGAATATCCGTGGCTGTCTTTTTCTTGTTTTGTAAGGAATTTTCCACATATCCTTCAGCTACTGAACTGAACTTCCAACCTCCGTGTCTTTTAATTCTCGTCAAATCGGCACCTGAATCTGCAAGCAAAGTTGCCGAAGATCTTCGAAAGCAGTGACCAGTGAATAAGACAGAATTTGGCAACCAATAAATCGAGCAATCGTCTTAGGAAGATTACCGAAAGTGTTGATCCCAACCGGCACCACATTTTCCACTATTATATTTGACAAAAAATCTGTTATGTTTTACATTTTGTGGACGTAACTTCATATATTTTCCCAATATCTCGACCAAATTCAATCCATCAATGTCGCCCATTGTGATGATAAACTCTCGTACAACTTTGGTCTTGGTCATCGGAATATTGACTCGAAAATATGAATGTTCATCTACAACATCTTCAATTCTCAAAAAGGTCAATTCAGACTTCCTACATGCACCATATATTCCGATTATCATTGCAACCTTGAAAGAGAAAATTATGTATAAAAGAACATAATATTATATAAAAACTATAGCTACAAACGCTCACCTTTGCCATCAAAAATGTGTTATCATCAGCTTTCATCAAAAACTGAGAGATATGCTCTTTCGACAAGACATTCGACTTCTTTGCTTGGTATCCATCGGACTGCCTCTTCAGAAATGCCAATAAATTGGTGTATTTTTTTATGTCGATGTTTTTTTTCAACGAAATTTCACATCGCAACATTGAGTAACGTGACCAGAGAGTGGAAGCTTTCAGACTTTTATGTCCTTCAAAATATGCCAGCATAACTTTTTCAGTGATATGCTTAACTTTTTTTTCTTCACACCAATTTTCAAATTTTCTATAAGCAATATCATATCGTTCTTTTGATTTTTCCGGAATCATGGTTAATAGTGTATTTTGTGCTGCTTCCTCAATATCACTTGCATGGTAAATCAGAACTTGAATCGGACATTTTTCACCTATAAAAACATCAAACGATTCCATTTCGTCGCTAGTTTGTGACCGTATTGTTGTTTGACGGATACTTCAAAGTGGCAGGCGAAGTCAACTAGCCTACTAAATTTTGTAAAGAGTCGGCAGAACTCATGTAATACTGGTCATTATTTTTGTTCATGCGGAATGTTTCGTCAAAATTAGAAAAAATATTGTACGTGACACGTTCCCAGTCAACACATGGACATTCGATGGACATCCATTGGACGTCCATTTAGGATATTTGGGATATCCAGAGAATATCCAGTGATATCCGATGTATATCTTATGGACGTCCAATGGACGTGCCGAGTGGAAGGAGTTGGACTTCTATAGGATATCCTTCAGGAACATCAATAAGACATTTTTCAGGGATATCCATAAGATATTGTTCACAAATATCCATAAGACATTTTTCAGGGATATCCATAAGATATTGTTCACAAATATCCATGAGATATTTTTCAGGGATATTTACTAAATATCCTTAACAATATAGAACACCATGTATATTATTCCATAATGAATTAGGAACAATTATAACGAATTCAACGGTACCGGATTGGATAGGGTTATTTCAAACGATTACGAAGATATGGCATTCGAAGTTTTCATATGCTAATTGAGGATATGGAAATGTGAATATCTTTCTAATCGTTTGTAGAAATCCTATCAAACACAGTATCGTTGAATTCGTTATGATAATCCTTAACCGATTATGGAATAAAATACAGGGTGTCCCGTTTGAAAATGCCATCCTCGGTTAAACCAAAAGTGCGGTAAAGCAAGTAGATATGTCGAATAATATAAAATGAACTATAATTCATGACCCCAATTGACGTTTTACTACCTACAATAATGAAAAAGTTATAGGAGTGAACCACCTTAAGCTTTAGCTCATACCTCATGAAAGAATTCAATTTACCATGACTTTCGACATGGATGCATTTTTAGACCAATCAGAACGATTCTAGCCATGGAGGTTAATTCGAATTGAATTCAATCTTTTGAGAGATAAATAGAGGAGGCGAGGTGGCCGGATTTGAATCGCGTTATCCCTAGCGCAACAATGAAGCTATTTTCCGAAATGCTGTTAAGGTGAATTCAAGAATTAGATTCACTTAGATTTTTCCATCTTTCTTTTGGAAAATTTGTCATTCACGCGAATGCCATATTGATTTATATTTTATTGCTTCAGAATATTTTATTACTATCCATTGGGAAAATACCTACCCAGTTTTGAATTCAGGGATGCGAATATATCTTTTTATGGATCTCCATCTCAATCCCAAGGAAAAAAATGGAGATACAAGTTATTTCTGAAAAATCATATTTTTGTGCGAAAATGTTGAAGAACAAAAGTTATTTTGACATAAATATGATTTTATGTTTTCTTTGGATATCCTATGGCTATCCATAAGATATCTTCTGATGGATATCCGCTATAAATCCATGGATGAATATCTCATGGATGTCCATCTGAAGACCACAAAAAAGTAAATATATGAGAGCTATTTTCGAGTGATTGTATATTTTTGTACGAAAACATTGAACAACAGAGAAAAATTCCAAACTGTGGTGTTGTTATTTATATGAATTCATATTTGCATCGGATATCTTAATTGTGGCTATAAACATATTATACCTACATAACAATAGTTATATGATGGAAAACTACCTTTGAATTTCTAATAAACATGTGATTTGCATGTGATATTTGTGATGATTCGTATTCTTCTCTCAATTAACAATTTTTGTTCGCTAAACGAACATCTTATGGACGTCCATAGGTGATCCGCATCAGAATATCCATTTGTTATCCTCTGACGGATATCCTATGGATATCCATTTTATGTCCCAGGATATCCCGACCTGAAATGGACTTGAGAAGGATATCCATAGGATATCCTGTGTTATCTGGGTTAGGAAACGCCATTTTGTGTAACTCTGTGATGTTGCGGGATCTCGCTTCGCTCGTCCCGCAAAATCCCATTGTTACACAAAAACAACGCGTTTCCTAACTGATTACGTAAATATCTATTTTGTACCATGGGAGATGCCCTGATCCAGTGTCAGCCCATCAGGAGTTTACCTGCTGCCAGATACTTATCCTGTTCAACCTGTTGAAGAAGACGTTTCCAAACAGACTAATTTGAGAGAAGCGCGTCATTTTATGTGAATAGTGTTGTAGAATTACCACATTGCTGGAAACGTAACTAAACTGTTATTGATTTTACTTTTGCGGGGTTTGTTGAAGCACGAAACATCCCTCATCCCACTCCACTGTGCAAAATTGTTACGTTTTGTTTCTTGTCCATTCACGTCTCAAAGACCGTTTCAGAGAAGTTATATGTTCACCAACATAACAAAATCTCAGTAACGTTAAATATGATTAAAATCTGATATGTTAACGGGAACGACTTCGTTACAGAAATAGTACTTTCCATTACGGTAACTACAATGAAACGGTGATAATGCATGTAACAAAGCTGGAAACGGAAACTGCTTTCTCACAGCAAAAGTACTTCCCTTAGGAGTTACTACAATGAGACCATAATGTATTCAGTCTTTTCTTCTCATGTGTTTCGAGATGTGAAAAGTACATTGTAATATACAAGGGGTTTCAATTAATGTTGCACTACACTTTTTAAAGTCTGATTTTTGTGTCAAAATATAAACAAAATCATACAAACATAATATGCCTGAAAACGATTCGTTTATGAGATTCAATGAGTTCAATCATCATGTACCTATCTCGGAAATGAATGATTTTTGAACATACTCATATTTATAGGAATTTTCCTTCATATTTTGACCCAAAAAATTGATCTCGAAGATTCATATAACAATAATGAAACACCCTGTATATTAATTTGAAAATTTCCGATTTTTCAATCAATCGAAATAGTTTGGATTGAATAATTTTGAGTAAAATTCAGATTAGGAACTGATAAATATATATTTTACTTCTACCAACTTTATGGTTAACAAAATATTATTCAATGAAATGAACAAAATAAAAACAGAAAATGATTCCTTAATATGAATTAAAAATGAAAAACTGAAAATAAAATTCTAAGCAAGTAGGCAAGAGAGTAGGAGACAAACTAATTTGAAAGAAACGCATCATTTTATGTGAATAGTAATATAAAGGGTTGTCCAAAAAAAACCGTAATTTCGTTCTTGAATAATAACTTTTTTATTATTGAACCGATTTTATTGATTTTGGTCTTGTTTGGAAGATAATTGAACGAGACAAAACGTCAATGTTATATTTTTCGAATTCTTTCAGGAAACAAAATGGCGGACACGCCTAAACTTGGTCAAACTTTTAAACTTGCTGGAACTTTTTTGAGTTTCA